TCTACTAAGTATCATAGTGTATTACTGCTTTTGCATAATGTATTTCACAAGTTTGGTGTTCCTGCAGTTAATATTATAAACAGAATATGTTTACAACAATTGCTTGCTTCATATAGTCTAATCATCTTCTTACGACATACCACGTAAGACATCTAAATATGTAACAATTACATTAACTGAATAGTGTGGAAGATATAAAAACGTATTATATTTGGAGGCAAATGATTGTACGTACCTGCTTCTTCATCAAATTGCATGAAGTCAAATAAATGACTATTCATTTTTGTAGTGAAGTATAAGATTTAAAGGTTTTAGGCCTGTAATAAACGAAAAATTGACAGTTTTGTTGATCCTCACATAACAAGAGAATATTGAAACCACATAGAGATAGCATATATAAAAAAGAGAATTATTTAAGAAGTTTAAACAATGTAGAAACTGATTAAAAACATGATATAAACTATGAATTCACATCTATATTGAAGTTGATGAAACACCATAAGTTATTGAGTATATTTAAAACATATTTTACATTGGTTCGGGACACATACGATTAAAATCATGTGACAGTAATAGACTCATATATATTTGGTGCACATTGTGGTATAACATTCAAAATAATTAACCAAAATATAAGATGGAGTTCGTCAATCCTCATTCGAGGATATTAAAGAGATAAAACTGATTTTTTTTTAAACAGATCCAAAGTTATCAAGGCAAGGAACTACAAACAATCAGATAGGTTTCTTCAAAACTAACAATAACTTAAAATAACATAAATGTGAATATAACTACTTCTCCTTATTTATATCCTCAATCAACCTGGTTGCGGAAAGTTGGACACTCTCAATATCTTCAACAACATCAGGTAAAGTCCTTTTTGATGGAGTCAGGCTTGAATTTCCAACAGCAGGGTCATAATCAGCACCAACAGATAAATGTTTCTAATGGTAATATGGATATAATATAACAACATTAGACAATGTATGTAGATATTTGTTTTATATAGAGAGCTCATGTTTGAATTAATAACTTACAGTAAAGGATATTGATTCATCTTGGGATGAAGGCTCAGTTGGTAGAAGCTTTGAAGTAGGCTGCCAAGACAAAATCATATCAGTCCAAATAAATAAGGAGTGATCAGCCATGATATTTTGTGTTTACACTGACATTACCTCTTTCGAGATGAAACTCCCTCTAACTCTCTTACGAAAATCTTCACCAATTTTGCAACTAATGACAGAAAGTCTACCTTTGTTAGGCTGAAAAACAACACTAATAGCCAATTCCTGCTTTAGAATTGCATCAAGTGCATAAGGGAATTCAAGAGTATCATCTTCACCGGCCTACATAAACACAATGAACTCTATTACACAGTTTTTTAAAAAAAGAATCAAACTTAATAAGGTGTCATTATATACCTCTATCAATTCATTTTTCATTTGAAGAGCGGACTTCCCAACCAACTTGACGCAATCTCCGTCCCAAAAAATGAATCTTGCCTTGTATTTACCGTCAACAGCCAAAACTTCGAGTTTATATCTATAAGATAATCATAAACCATGAATGTAATGCCACAAAACATTAAACAACATAAATCATAAATATCGATACAAACAATACCTTGGTACATGCTCTGGACTAATGTGTTTGGAATAACAGACCAGCTTTCCATCCTGCAGTGACACGCTTTTTGTGCAACCAACACATCCATCATAATACCAGCTTGACCGTCCAGCCTCAAATTTGTCCAAAGTCGCAATAGTAACACATGTAGTCTCCTGATAAAATGATGAAACCATTAGTTAGTTTGATATGATTCTTAATCACAATGTGACTATACAATGAAAAATGTATTATGTGTTGCAGAGTTGTTATTTCAGCAAGACTTAAAATTTCTGCCTTCCAAACAAACTTATCAAACTCATAATAGTATGAGTTTTATGTTGTGTCCACTTGAAGACTTGATGAAGACAATAATGGCAATTCAGACTGTAGATTGCATGAAATATAAGACAAATGTTTATAACCAACTTGACGGGTAATGCGTTAATAAAAAGATATGATACAACACGATAAATAAAATGAGATCAGTCAGCACCTCAAGGGTAACATCATTAATTAACAACTTTGTGCCATTCCAAGCGTTCAAGATGTTAAAAGGAAACCCTCCTGCAAGTTTCAGTCATTGTTTATCATATATATAGTTGTATAGAACATAAGGATTAAATTTGATGTTACATAGTTTTGGATTCACATTTGGTCAAAAAATTCAAAATTTGTATGTGTCAAACCTTGAGCCTCCTTAGTCCTTGCATTAATAAGCAAAACAACTATATTTCCATCTTCCTTATGAATTTTATAATAATCGTGAAATTGTATGGCAAGATGACCCCAAAGAGTACATTGTACTTCAGATCTGATGCTTTGTCAACATATTAACATTATTAATATGATGATGTTGGTTAACTTAATGCAATAATATTATACAAAAAAGAACATGAAGCGTGTCTATTATCAGTAATTGAAAACACACCTTTTCTCTTCTTATTATCATCATTGATTTGAGTTTGAGAAATCTCAGTCACTCCTCCAAGAATATCTACAATAATTCATGTGTTATATACTATATAGATTCATAGATGTTGGAAAACAAACATTATATGAATTAAACTAAAATCCACTAATAACATACCAACCAAAATATCAGACTGGAATTTTCCTTCAACAATGGCATCCAAATGAAGAATGTTCAGGTAATGCATAGGAATATCATGGAGTTCAACCTTCTTAACAGAAGTTGAGCCATAAAATACCAACTTGAAACTATGATTAGTCGACTAAAAAGAGAAATCATTGGTCGATACTTTGAAATTCTGCATTATATATGAACATTCAGACGCGAGTTACTCCTTGAATTTCGAAATCAAGAAGGGTGGCACAATGACTTGAATCATATATAACTACAATAAACGAACATACAAAGTTAGTTTTACAAACACCAATATTGCAAATACAAATTAACAACGACCAGACTGATAAAATACCTTATAATCAACCAAAATCATCTCGATGTGTTCCTTTTTTGATGCACTCGTCACAATCCACAAATGTTTGCACCTAACAACAATCTTCTATAAATCCTTTGAATCATTAATATCCTCACTACTTCAATTGGGCGAGCCATAGAGATGATATATCCTGTAACAACAACATGACAAAATTGGCATCATGAAAAGTTGAAACGAACGAATAAAATGTAACAACAACATGAAATCATTTTCCCTTATCAGGATAAAAGAACCGTATCAACATGAATTTTTTGAAACTTTCCTTAATCATATTCTGAAATTTTCAAATGCTTCAACATGAGTTTAACCTAATCCGTCAAATTGGGGTTGAAAGAATCATCTTAACAAAACAAAACCCAGGAATTTGGGGATGAAATCGACTGGATTTGTGACACAAATGGATACAGGTAAACAAAATATGTAATGGGGTAGTGTTGACTACCTGAATATTGCGAACACTTAAAGATTCCAACAAAGGATATTTGAGTTTTGAAGAAATACAGTGGAGAATATATATGCTTCAGTCGCGACGAAACGAAAGATGAAAGAGTGTTATTATCCATTGTTAGAAGTTGTGGTGTTCTTTAATGCTTCATTGAAATTGCAAGAATTGTTAGGTTTTTGAAAAACAAAAATTACAAGAATTGCAAGAGTTGTGGTGTTGACACTAGTGCACTATCATTAGTTAGATTTTTGAAAAACAAATTATAGTGGTCCCTTAAATGAGATTATTAGTTAGTGTTAAAAAATTAAATTAAATGAGATTATTAGTAGTCATTAGTGATAAAAAAAATTAAAAATATTTGGAAAATTTATTGTTTTGACACATCAGCCACATTAAATGTCAAAACAATATGGTGATAAGAGTATATCAAAAAGACTAATGTGCCCTTTAAAATAAGTTAAAAAGTTAATTGAAATTAGAGAGCATATATTAAATTTCCAGATACTTCAAAATTTATATATTAATAATAGATTAAAATTGATTTAATGGGGTTGAGAAGACCCACGTTTTTTATTATTTAATGGAGGTTGTAAAGACTAGGGATGTTCATGGTGTGGTTTGGGCAGCTTTGACGTTAAAAATCATCTGAATTGCAAGAGAAAAAATATGCAGTTTGGTTTGGTTTGGTTGACTTTTAGAAGAAAAAAAATTAAATCAAACCAAATTAATGCGGTTTGGTTCGGTATGGTTGGTTTGGTTTTTTATAAGTATTTTATTAAGCCGTACATACACATATAGATGACAACATAATTTTGTATTTAATCTTTCATACACTACTGAATAATAACAAAACTCATCATATTTGGACAACAACTTCCCATTTAATATGTAAAATTAGATCAGACAAAATCGGAATAATAAACATAAAATAACATCATAAAACAATATCAAAAATACTATAATGAAACAAAAAAATAGAAGAGATGAGAGATTAGTGAAGATGAAAAAGAAAGACCATAAGAGATGAGAGATTAGAGAAGAAGGTGCGGGATAAAAATGAAATTGAAGAAGAAACATTTGCATAAAAATGAGAAGGTGAAAAAAAAAGAATATAATAGAGTATAAATTAGAGACGAAGAGGCAAAATGTATGTAGCAAATAATGTGTGATAATGCTAGGAGATATTTGAGAAGACTGAAACTGAAATCATAAGTATAAAGATGAAAAATTATTTGTAATCATAAGACTAAAATATAATAGGTTTAAGTTTGGGTTGGATGTGAGTTAAATAAAATATAGATTGTAACCTAATGAAATATGATTTGATTTGATTCACTTTACAAAATACAAACGCCAAACCAAACTAAATCGCATGGGTTTATTAAAAAATGACTCAAGTTAAGATTTAAATTATTCATATATTAAACGCTTTGAACGCTTCCGCTCATTGTGCCACCGCGTCGCCATTAACACCGTCCACTTCTATGCTTCCTCTTCTCAACTTGGTCCCAGTTTCCAAATTTTCTTCATTTCATCAACGTGCTTACCAGTGTTTTTCATCAGCTACATCTTTTCTACAAAAAGATACCAATTTCAGCACTTTATTCAACTCCTGTGTGAATGTTAATCTCACTAAACAGCTTCATGCTCTTCTTATAGTGTTTGGAAAATCTCAAAATGTTGTTCTATCCACAAAGCTTATTAATTTGTATGTTACTCTTGGTGATATCTCGTTATCTCGCTCTACTTTTAACCACATTAACAAGAAGAATATATATTCCTGGAACTCGATTATATCGGCTTATGTTCGATTTGGCCGATACAACGAAGCTATGAATTGTGTCAATCAGTTATTTTCCAATGATTTAAGGCCTGATTTTTATACTTTTCCTCCTATATTGAAAGCTTGTGTAGATTTTGATGATGGGAAGAAAGTACATTGTTGTGTTTTTAAGATGGGTTTTGAGAATGATGTGTTTGTTGCTGCTTCGTTGATTCATTTGTATTCGCGGTTTCGTGTTTTAGATGTTGCCTACAAGGTGTTTGTTGATATGCCTGTGAGAGATGTGGGTTCTTGGAATGCGATGATTTCGGGGTTTTGTCAGAATGGAGATGCAGCCGGGGCGTTAGGTGTGTTGAATAGGATGAAATGTGAGGGGATGGAGATGGATACTGTTACGGTGTCGAGTATACTTCCTGTTTGTGCACAATCGGAGGATAGTGTTAATGGGGTGTTGATTCATTTGTATGTGTTAAAGCATGGGTTGGATACTGATGTTTTTGTTTCCAATGCTTTGATTAATATGTATTCCAAGTTTGGTAGGTTGCGGGATGCAGAGAGGGTTTTTGATCAGATGGAAGTGAGGGATTTGGTATCTTGGAATTCTATAATTGCTGCATATGAGCAGAATGATGATCCGAAGACTGCTCTTAGGTTTTTTAAAGGGATGCAACTTGTTGGAATACAGCCTGATTTGTTGACGGTTGTGAGTTTGACGTCAATATTCAGTCAGTTAAGTGATCAAAGGGTTGGCAGATCTATTCATGGATTTATTATGAGGCATGAATGGATTGAGAAGGATGTTGTGATTGGCAATGCACTTGTGAATATGTATGCCAAGTTGGGAGATATGAACTGTGCACATACACTTTTTGATCAGCTTCCGAGAAAAGATGTAATTTCATGGAACACGTTGATCACAGGTTATACTCAAAATGGTCTTGCAAGTGAGTCAATTGATGCTTACAACATGATGGAAGAGTGTATAAATATAGTCCCAAACCAAGGGACTTGGGTGAGCATTATACCAGCATATTCTCATGTTGGAGCTTTGCAGCAAGGAATGAAAATTCATGGGAGGCTGATAAAAAACTCTCTCTACTTGGATGTCTTTGTGGCTACCTGCCTAATTGACATGTATGGAAAATGTGGGAAGTTGGAAGATGCAATGTCTTTATTTTACGAAATTCCACGGGAAACTTCAGTTCCTTGGAATGCCATAATATCTTCTCTAGGGGTTCATGGCCATGGAGAAGAAGCTCTGCAACTTTTCAAAGACATGCTAGCGGAAGGTGTAGAGGCAGATCATATTACCTTTGTATCTTTATTGTCGGCTTGTAGCCATTCGGGTTTAGTTGATGAGGGCCAAAACTGTTTTGATATTATGCAGAAAAAATATGGGATCGAGCCTAGTTTGAAACATTATGGCTGCATGGTTGATTTACTTGGCAGAGCTGGATATTTGAAAAAAGCTTATGATTTAGTGAGAAATATGCCTGTAAAACCAGATGCATCCATCTGGGGTGCTCTTCTCTCTGCTTGTAGAATACATGGAAATGCAGAATTAGGTACATTAGCTTCAGAACGCTTATTGGAAGTTGATTCGGAGAATGTTGGCTATTATGTTTTGTTGTCGAACATCTATGCAAATACCGGAAAATGGGAAGGAGTAGTTAAAGTAAGATCCTTGGCCAGAGATCGTGGATTGAGGAAAACACCTGGGTGGAGCTCTGTTGTAGCTGGCAGTAAAGTTGAAGTCTTTTACACTGGGAACCAAACTCACCCAAAATATGCAGAGATGTACAGAGAGTTAAGGGTTTTGAGTGCTAAAATGAAGAATCTTGGCTATGTTCCAGACTATAGTTTTGTCTTACAAGATGTTGAAGAGGATGAAAAGGAACAGATTTTGAATAGTCATAGTGAGAGATTGGCCATTGCATTTGGAATTATCAGTACCCCACCAAAAAGTCCGATTAGGATATTTAAAAACTTGCGTGTTTGTGGCGATTGTCATAATGCGACTAAGTATATATCTAGAATTACTGAGAGGGAAATAATTGTAAGGGACTCAAACCGTTTCCATCATTTTAAAGATGGGATATGTTCATGCGGTGATTACTGGTAAAAGACGCTAATTTATGGAGTTCTGAAAAGATTTTGCTGCAGTACACAAGGATATATGCATTAATCAAAACTTTCTGAGGCAATCTCAAACACCTTTTTCAACAACTTTCAACTGCTTCATAGCTACATTGAACATCTTTTGCTCTTTTGCTCTAGCTCAAGCTTTCAAGACTGCTCAAAGGTAGTATTTAGAATATTAGGAATGATAAGAACACATTACATCGAAAACTTTGTCCCTACGCAATTTTTATTTCCGGCATGGATTCGCATACATACATAGCTATCAGGACAGGAACATATAGTTTCAATCATTTATCCACCTTCCTTTTTCTCCCGAGTTGTATTTCTCCGCACAATATTTTTTTGATTTCAGGCTTTAGTTGAGCCACTATTTGATTGTCTGGTTGGGCGTAAATGTTCGATGTTTTGGATATGTTATTCTCTCGAAACATCTAGTATGCTCTTATGGGATGATATTATTACAGAGACTCGCCAACAATACTTCTTCTTTATCATTTTGAGGTATTTCGAGATTCACATTCACCTGAGATTTCACCAAATGATCAAAGAGGCAATGCATCTGACGTTGCATCAGTTATTAGGGAATTCACTGAGCCAGTTGGTGAACATGATGATAGTAACTCTCCGATGAAATCAAACAGCGAATTTGTAAGATCTAGCTTAGTTGAAACTTTCTATTGCTATTACTATTGTTCGAGCTATAACATTTTTCTATACACTTTGTTCTGTACATCACAAAGGGTATGTCTTGTTGTATTGTAAATCAAATAAAGTAAAACCAGTGAACATCAAAAGAAGCCAACAGGTAAGATAACATTAAGCTGTAATAGCCATTTCTGTTATAGTAAAGAAAAGTTGATGAAAAGGAATTCGATTGGGAATTCTAAATAAGTTGGGGAAATTTCTCTGTGGAGATTCAAGCATTTAAAGTAGACTATTTCTATCAAGGATGAAGTATTATCTATCAAGTGACATGCAATACACTTTAGTAATAACAAGAGTAGAAGACACATTCTGCAGAAACAGAAAGTGGCCTTAAACATGCTGTGTGCCCTCAAACGTGTCCCCTTAAAATTATGATCTTCTTTGAATGTTAATGCATATACACAAATCTATATTTATGTCAATATGTCTTTCTCATTAGGCCAGACAAGTAGTAAATCAAAATCAAGATTGGAAAAATCTCAGCACCTATGTTTTTCTTTTGTTTTTAACTAGAATTGTAAAGTATTTATTATTACAGCATGCTGGTGTAGGTGGAGAAGAATGCTGAAAAGACAAGCGGGCATCAGGTCCTGTTGATTGCTGCAGCTGACAATTCAGAGGGTCTACCTTCAACCATCGGACGCAGCTTTAGCCATGAAACGAAAATCGGGCCTTTGACAGAAGAGCAAAGGGCTGAAATGCTATTGCATTCACTGCAAAATATTTATGGACTCCATTCTAATGTGAGTATGGAATAGAACCTTCTCTTGTGTTTATACCTTCCGTACAAATTAAACATCTTTTGTTGATTTTAAACAATTGCATTGTTGATTCTTTCAGACTGATTTAGAGGGTATTGTAAAAGAAATAGTTGGACAGACATCTGGTTTCATGCCCAGGGATATGTGTGCTTTAATTGCAGATGCTGGTGCCAACTTATTTCCCAGCAGCAATGCTGAAGTAGACAAAGTTGAACCAGAAGTTGCAGATAGTTCTCTTAGTTCAAAGGTGACGGAGGACAACGAGTCCGAAGTTTCAGCTAGAAAGCCTGAGAAAGAAGACTTGGTGAATGCTTTGGAACGATCAAAGAAAAGAAATGCGTCAGCATTGGGTACTCCAAAGGTAAATTAAGCAATCAGGATTTGTGATATTTTTCTTATTTGTATTAAGTGGCATTTAAAATCAAGATTAATATACCATTTTTTATTGTTGAAAATTGTACACATTAGCATGTAATATGTCTTGTGGGAGAACAAGTTCTTCAATGCATGAAATATTTTTAAGTATGGATTTTTATGCAGGTTCCGAAGGTAAAATGGGACGATGTTGGTGGGCTTGAAGATGTCAAAAAATCAATCCTGGATACTGTTCAGGTGGGCTTGAAGATGTCAAAAAATCAATCCTGGATACTGTTCAGGTGGGCTTCTTGTTTTCATTACTTCATCTTTGTCACTTTCCCCCCTGATTTGGAAGTGCAACTTCAAACTTTTGAAACTGTGCTAACTATAGCCGAAAACAGTGCCTCTTATGTCAACTTGAAAATACATTTGGTGTAAAAAGGAAATTGTGGTTATGTTTACATGGTCAACATTTCATAAATGTATTTCATAAGCTGACTGAGTTGAATATCATTTTAGTGTATACTCAAATAGAAGAGTTCAAATAAAATAAGAAAGGAGGTGCTTTTGGAGAGTCAAAATTGAAATATGAATGAACTTTACACCTAAAGTTCAACATGGAAGCTGTCAAGACAAATTTCTTCTAAAAAGAGATTGAATGTCCTGTTTCTGCTATATTATCAAGACTAAATCATAGATTATTATTATACTTTATAATATCACTTTTTTTCAGATTATTTCCAGTCTCATTTTTCTATATTTTTTTAATATTTATCTTTCTCAATCATATGTTATCCTGGAGATACAATTTATTTTCTGTAATTTCTGAATAACTGATCCACTCTGTATTTTCTAGTTGCCTCTCTTGCATAAAGATCTATTTGCATCTGGGTTACGCAAGCGGTCTGGTGTTCTTTTGTATGGTCCTCCTGGAACTGGCAAAGTAAGTTGTAAAGTACCTTTAAATGATAACCTTCTTCTACCGCAAATTTCTCACCCTTTACTCACAAAAGTTTTCTTGTGCCATTTTCTTTTTATTTATTTGTTGTCAGACATTATTAGCAAAAGCTGTTGCTACAGAGTGTTCCTTAAATTTTCTTAGTGTGAAGGGTCCTGAACTGATCACCATGTACATAGGCGAGTCTGAGAAGAATGTCCGAGACATTTTTCAGAAGGTACAACAATATTTTGGTTATTTCTACGGGTGTTTCAATTTTCTGTGAATTACAAAGTATATGGAAAACATTTTAATAAAGTAAAACACCAATATAATTCTCAGGCCAGATCAGCCCGTCCATGTGTCATCTTCTTTGATGAGCTTGACTCTCTTGCACCAGCTCGGGGAGCTTCCGGAGATTCTGGGGGTGTTATGGATAGAGTGGTTTCGCAGGTGATTTCCTTTTCTAAGTAAGACCTGGTGTTTTAGACATTTTCTTTGGACTCCTGATGTAAATTGTATTTTCCATTATTAGATGCTTGCAGAAATTGACGGCTTAAGTGATTCAACACAGGTTTTTTTATATCCTCCAATTTGTTGTCTTCTAGTAAAAAAATTTTTTCTTCGTATTTTGCTTCTAACAAGTGTTTTCTTTGTTAATGGCTTAATAGGATCTATTTATTATTGGTGCAAGTAATAGACCAGATTTGGTAGACCCGGCATTTCTTCGCCCTGGTCGTTTTGATAAATTGCTATATGTTGGCGTTAACTCTGATGCATCTTACAGAGAGCGGTAAGTTGTCTGCTTTTCTAGCTTCCTTTGTCGAGCAGTATGGATTGTTTGATAGAATGGTACTATGCATATCTCTCTTAGGGTACTGAAAGCTCTTACGAGAAAATTCAAACTGCATGAAGATGTTTCACTTTATTCCATTGCAAAAAAATGTCCACCAAACTTCACCGGTGCAGACATGTATGCCTTGTGTGCAGATGCTTGGTTCCGTGCTGCAAAACGCAGGGTAAGTCCAGCCAGGATCATTGGTTCTCATAGTTATTTTGTGTGTTTTGTTTGATATTAGGCCGGTTATTGCGTATAGTTTGATAGTGGGCAATCACTATAAAGAGGAAATAGCAGCATGTATCTATGCATCTTTTATTGTGTGAATCGAGAGGATACTCAACCTCATTGTTTTGTTCTAGGTTTTGAATGCAGATCCAGAGTCCTCCAACCCAGATAATGAAGCAAATTCTATTGTTGTTGAATACGATGATTTTGTCCAGGTAACATTAGAGCAACTTATCCACCCACCCCAAGAGTTTTCTAGTATGTAGTTGGGTGACCGGCATTTCCTGTCATTTTCAGGTCTTAGAAGAGCTTCAGCCTTCCCTCTCAACGGCCGAGCTTAAGAAGTACGAGCTTCTTATAGATCAGTTTGAAGGCACCTCTAAATGAGTTTTGGACCGATAAACAATCAATCATCAACCATTAATTTTGCCAGTATATACTAGGGAGACGAAATTCTTACAGTTACAACAGCACGCGGTCAAACAATATCGGTCATAAGATTAAGACTGGACGACATATATTTCAGCTTCACCGAATCTGAATATAAGTTGTGCAATCTATCAGATCGGAGAATCGAGATCTTTATATATAGGACTACATGGAATGTGTTTCCGATTTTCTGTATATAGTAGGCTTCCAACCAAGTAATAGGGCACCAGCCAAAATAAGAGCAGCTTCCCTTAACCTAATTATCATAACTATTTTTGTATGTTTAAGTTGTTAAATAGAGACTATAGTGCTATTGCAAAGTGATTTGAACAAGCCGTTATCTTCTAAGATCTTTAATGAATAACAATAGCTGACGCTGTTGCATGAAGCTCAGGGTGATAACATCTTTGTGTGTAATTTTCAGTGAAAAAATGGTAAATGAATTATGGAGAAGCATATCTATGTTTACTTATGAGAACTGTTTCCACCTCAACAACCACTCGAGTGTATGAAATATGTGGTTGAAAATTTTGAAGGTATTTGGAGAGCTAGTGATAAACTTGAAGCCATCAAAGCTAGTAAGTTGCAACTTGATCAGATATTAACAAACATTAGCAAGCAATAAATGTAACCGTCATAGATCTTGGAGCATCGAAAGAATTTGATCGATATTACGATGAGAAACATGTTTTTGGTAGTGTATTTTCTATCAAAATGCATTATCAACCTTGGCGTTAAAAGGGTAGATTGAAAAACTCATTTTTTAACCCACAATTCTTCTATCAATGGACAGAGAAAAAGTTATTTAGATTTCAATGTTTGACAATACAATGAATTTAGATAGATTGTCTATTTCAAATGGCCTATAAGTTTGAAGATCAAGAAGAATCCTACAACAAACGAATTGCAGTTGCTATGGTTGTTGTAAAAAGTGAACAGCATTTTTCCTCATCTACTCTCTTGTCTCATTCTTATTGGAATCATTCATTGTATATGTAACTCAAATAAGATGTTGAAGCATATGCATTAGCAGAAGTTATTTGACTGATGTAATAAGTTACAAGAAAACCAACCAACTTGGGTTAGTCTACAGTTAGCGTCGGTTACAATCTGTTAGATGATGAAAGTTGAAGTTGAGCTAGAAAAATCTCCAGCTATATAACAATGTAACAGCCTACCTCATTTCTGTCCTTGAGTTGAACACAATCTCCATTCAGTTGTTGATATTTTCTTTGTGTTTGTCATTGATACATTTTACTTGATACAAGAAGTGTCTTCTCAATTACACGTTTCCTCTTTTTACGGGTCAACTTAAAAATTTGATCTCTGTAACATTTATCCACGTGTTCACCCTATTAGACGAGAATATGGAGTAAGAAAACAGTTGAGAGGGGAATGAATAGACTTTAAAAAAAAAAATTCAATCGATCTTTCAAAAATGAACTATCGAAAGTTTTTTTAGTTTGTGCGCGAAAAGTTTAGAGCAAAAATATGAGAATTATATATAGAAATTGTTTCGCGTAAGCACTTAATCACTTTAAAAATATCGAAGATGTTCTAACGATGATACACAAGGTATTCAATTGATTCAACTGTATACTTCACGAGGTGTGTTTATACAACGGTTCAATTTTACGAATTCTAAATTCAACAAGTTTCTCATATTTTAATCACCATTAAAGCTCGATTAGGTATCAATTCCAACAAAATCTAACCTTAAGTAATAAATTGCTACCAATTGAATAAACTATAAACTACTCTAAGAATCGAAAACCTAAGCATGCAATATTCAACAAAAATTAAATGCGAGAGTAAAAGAGAGAAAGAAGAAACCAGGATTTATAGTGCTTCAGCGTTCGTCTTCGCTTTGCCTACATGCAATCTTCAATGGTTTCTCATTGGAACTCGCATAACTCCTTTTTATTTTGACAAATATTGCAAGACTTCAGACAATTACTAGTCCACAATAACGCTGAAGAAAATAAATCTTCTATCTGGATCTTGACTTGTATACATCTTAATGCCAAACTCTTTTGCGTAATTGTTCGAACTGCAATATAGCAGCAAGAAGCAAAAGTTAAGTTTGGAAGTATTATGGGTTTTATCGTATCCACAAGGATCGGTGCGAGGGAAAGAATGTTGTTCAATAGTCATTACGTTTCTAAGTTTGGTTTGAATGGTTTCAAAACGTAAAGTGTGGAAAGTTAAACATATTAACAGAAAATAAATACATTCTTGAGAGATGAGAGAACTCGCCGAGATTGTATTTCTTCTACCATTCAATTACTTAAACACACTGACCAGTTGTACGCAACATAAATCACTCGTCAATATCATCATGTATCTCTCACATTATTGTCCATGTCTGGAGCACCGATGAGATTTCTACCGCATAATCTCATCGGCGATGTCTCGCGCAACTAAATAACACAGAGCATTAAGAATCGATATCCATGTGAATATTAGATCTAAATCCATTTCTAGAGTCTAGAATCTAATAAATAATCATCCAAAAACAAGATTTGAAGAGTATATATTTATAGCAACTCAAATCCCAGCACAAAGCAAAAACAAAGATAAACGTCGATATAGATTTGAGAAGTAGATATTATACAATGTCATGATCAGTACATATACATAAAATCAAAGTAAACTTACATACAAACCCCAATAATAGAGAATATAAAGAGAGAAAGGAAAAAGAATCAAACATCTCTCGTGGTGTCAGGACGATTGATGAAGCTTCAACTCCAGATCATCAAGATATAACCTCCATTATTGTTGTCAAAGCCTAAAATCTCAAAGAATGTTGGTGATAGAGTTGGGACAAAAAACCACCAAAACCATAACCTAAAAATATGTTCTAAACCCATAAATACAAGTTTTTGCCCAGACAAATTCGCCCTGCGCTCACAAAATTCTTTCGGATAATTTTCGCTTTTCAGCCCCAAAATACAACGCAAAAACAGGCAAATTCGCCCCGAGCTCGCCTGGCGAATTTGACAGCAAATGAAAAAAATAATTTCTTATTTTCACCATAATTCGATAACTGTAACTTCGATTTATGCACGTTCAGAAACGTTGGAATGCTTATTCAATGATCTATATTACAATGACAAAATATCATTGCTTGAATACCTACAAAATGAGATAATAAACTATTGTACTCAATGATATTTACACAAACTGATAAAACTATACTAAAATACTAAATGTTACTTATTCACACTAAAGTTGAGGTTATTTCTAGAAAAACTAATGAATCAAGTCAATAAGTGTCAATTATTCACACTAAAAAATACCATAATTTGGCACTTATCAACTCTCACCAACTTAAAAATTTGTTTGTCCTAAAACAAGAATCAATGAACCTAAAGAAACAAAAACAATTGTCAAGAATTATGATCAATAAGTTTAGAAAAACGAAACAAATGTAGGGTTTAAAAGAAAAAAGTACAAACAAAGCAATGCTTACCACTTTACTACAACAACATAAACATGAAACAAATTATAAGCACAAAGCAGATGTAAAAAATTATAAGACAATACAAACTCAATCATGAATCACACCTATCACACATCTTCAAAGGTGAAGAAAAAAGAACAGAATGAGGAAAACAAATCACACCCAACAATTATGCAAACATCCAGATCAACTTAGACACTTATCAAAGCAAAATCACATTGAAAGCATAAAAGCATAAATCACAGGGACTTTCAAGGATTGTAGCGTGGTTTGGGTAACAAGGAAGAGTCATATCAAAAAAAAAAATGAAACAAAATTTCCTAATCTTACGAGAGCAATCACTTCCCACACTTTCAAGCAATAAAAAAATTATACAACCATTTCTCATTACACAATATTACAACCTTGATCTTATTCATCATTTTTTTTCTTTTCTCTTTCTTTTATTTTTCATATTTTTTTTCCTTTTGTTTTTCAACCACTTTATTATCCAACCTCTAGAAACCAACTTATAAGCAATCAAGCATTGCTCTCCCCAACTTGAATACAACCACATATAGTGACATGAATGCTCTCAACTTTCTAAGGCAAGGAGAAATTTCAACCACAATACATGGTTGAGGGTCAAGTGCAAAGAAAAAAAATTAGAATCTTTGATGAACTACTAACTCAAGCACAAGTTCATAGTTCAACACAAAGATGAATTCTAACAAAACGGCTCAAAGGGGTTAACAAATGCTCGTTTACTCACAAGGTGAATTACTTTTAGTAAGGTGGTTATGCTCAAAATCAAACAAAATGCCTTGATCATTTTCATGCTTTCATATAAAACAACATAAATGCAAGATTAAACATAAGTCAAATGAGTTAAAACAAAATTATTGGTCTCCTGTACATATATAGTAAACAATGGAAAGCTTCCTCACAAAAATACTTGGATCAAAGGTGATTCAATCATGAAGAAGTAGCACAAAAGAGTAACTAACATGCAAGTTGTACAAATTAAAAGTTTCATAATCACGTTATGTTATAGAAATCATTAAACACGTACATTGTATAGTACCAACTTCAAACACTATCGTTATCATACATTTTCATGTTGGAACAATCAAACTTGGACAATCACAACATGTCTCCTCAAATCAATCAAAATAAGCTTTTGGACAAACACAAAACAAAAAAAAATTCTAACATCCTAATAAAAACTATTAGGTTGCATCCCAACAAGCGCTTTCCTCATTATTTAGTGTTAAATAATTTTCAACTTTGTCATTTTCTTTCTTTCCATTTTAATCTTTCAAACTACATCTCACATACTTGTGTAACACGCTTTAGCACTCTTGTGAATTCAACACTGAACCACTACAACACTGTTTGCATCCATCATCATCCTCATCATCATCTTCCCACACTTTAACCCTAATATTTTATACCATAAATACAAGAGGAGAGGTTGCCTTGTCTCTACCAATCCATCCTACCTTTGTTTGAAGCACAACCCTTATTCACAATCTCCAAACAGTTGTTGAACCATAGGATTAAAGTGCTTGTTGAACCATAAGTTTTTTTATTCAATATTGTAGCTTCATGTTCATAGGTCTTAAAAGAAAGAAGATAAGTATGATTTATGTTTATTTGCTATTCGTTTTGTTCAACACTTCATCAAACAACTTCATGGCTACTGAATATCCTGAGGCGAACAAGGCAACCAAGTTTTTCAAGGTCATAGTTACAAAAAATCATCCACAAGGAGAGCTTGTAAAACCTTGTGTAAGCCTTTCATTATTTATATTCTTTATTTATCTGTTAACATCATTATATCATCTTATTTTGTATTTTGCTTCCACAAACCACATGTTTTACTCTGATCCGATTTATTTCCTCAATTTGGCCTATTTGTTCTAAGCACATCATGCATATATGTTTTAAATATTTGACAGATGTTACCAATAAAGTTTGTGAAGAAATATGGAGAATATTTAGCGAAAGTTATATGTTTAAAGACTCCCGACGGAGAAGATTGGAAATTTAATTTGAAGAATAGTG